GATCTTAATATTTGACTGGAATAAAAAAATAAAATAAAATAAATAAATACAAAAAAAAAAAAAATCACCACTTAAATCCCTTAAAAATTATAAATCACAATTTTTAGCTGAAATATTGCAATCTGATTTTTTTCCCAAATCGTGCAGCCTTAGTGTATACTGCACAGTAAGTTTTCAAAGGCCACCAAACAGGCTCTCCAAAGTGCCTTCATCAAAATTCAGAGTCGCTCTATTATTCTCTGAGTGAAAGGCATAATTTTGCGGTTCTCATTAGGTAACACTCAAATGTGAGCGTGTTCTATGATCTCTAAAGACTGTGGCTTAATTGCCTCTGAAGTAAATGGCACAGTGTCATGCTTCAGCGCTGATCAGATGATCATCATAACCTCTGGGTACAGGAGGCCAGTATCGGGCCCGATACCGATACCAGTATCGGTATCGGTGCATCCCTAATAAATGGTAAATAGTGTGGTAGTATTCTAATCTGAATTTAACTTTAACTGAATTAAATTTTTTGGCTTAGATTTTTAACAAGTTGACATTTTCACACCAAAAGTTCAGTTGTATTTGTCCTCGTTTTTGTTTGTTTTTTGGCACAAGGAGAAGAAACATTGATTCATTTACAGCACAGACTCTCGTTCGTGGTGTAACCTCGACTGACTTTACGCAACAGGTTTTTTTTGATCGTCTTTCTCACTTTGCGAGGGAAGAATCACAGCTCATAGAGGGAGTGGATTATTCCACACCCACAGAGAATATGGAATATTTATAGTCTCCTTAGAAACCCTGTATGACTTGAACGTTTCCACAGATTGTGTGGTCAGTTTGATGTGTTTCAGTTCAGTATTTTGTCAGTGAGCTGTATGAAATCTGCCAGATGCCTCACAAAGCGTTTTTCAAGGGACGCGTGTTTGTTGACGTTAAGCCTGACGCGGTCATTGCATAATGCCAGAGATGACCGTAATCATGCTGCACTTCCAGTCTCATCCAAAGATGGGAATTTCAGGGAATATAAGAATGTCGCTTTCTTGTTTTGATGTAGTCTACAGTGAATTGCAGATCTGGATTGAGGAGTACATTAAAAACGGTTGCAAAATAGTGTATTTTTGCATGTCTGTTGTATTCCAGTGTGTCTGTACTGACCAATCAGCATCCAGAACCTAACTATCTACTGTTCTAATAATATAAAACTATAGTACAGAGAGCAAGAGACTGGTTTTCCATCGAAATAAAAACAAAATTTTGACATTTTGAAAATGAAGAAATTAAGACAGTAAAACTGTAAAATTACAATATCAAGAGTAAGAAAAACTTAATTTGACAGTGGTTTTATAATTTGTTTAATTTGATACATAATCAGATAAAAAATTAAGCATAATTGCAAATGCAATAATAATAATAACAACAATAATAATAATTCATATTTTATAATTACTATTATTATTAATAATAATATAATAATAATAATTCGTATTATTATGATTTACATAATCACAGTTAAAACATTTTAAGACATATCATAACCTCTGGGGCTTTTCAGACCCGATCGGAGATCAGAGACAAACCAACAGAACGGTTTCACTGACGAATCCCACTAGTGAGGCTACAAACGCGTAACACATACAGCACGTTGTGTCACCAAAGCGACTGTAAGCCATTAAGTTGCCAATTTACGGCGACACGAGCACCGCTGATGTTTAGCGTAAGTCAAATCTATGCTGTGACATGATACAGCATAGGACTGGTACTGGTGAAATATTCCTTTGAAACCATGTTTAAGTAATGGGAGACTGTGGAAAGGATGATAAAGATAAAGCAGCGGAGGACAAGAATAGAGATGCTGTGGACAGGATGAGCAAAGACAGGCAACAACATGGAGAGATAAGAGAGAGAAAGATTGAGAGGTAAAGATGGACAAACAGGAATAGACTGTGGCCTACTTGCCCTCATGCCGCCTAACTAGTCAACACTGGTACACAATAACACACCTATGTAGTGCAGACACACTTCCCTCAGCCAGAAACCCACAGGGAACAACACAAACCAGATGAGATCAGACAAAATAATCAAAAAAGCTCATAAAGGCTTTAACACCTCAGGTTAACGTGAAATCAAAATCGACAGTATTTACAGTATTGTTCAAAAGCTTGGGTTCTGAATTATTTTTTGAAATAAATTCATAGTTTTACTCAACAAAGGCGCATTAAATTGATCAGAAGTGACAGTAAAGACATTTATAATTATTAAATATAATTACAATATTTTTCTAATTCAAATAAATGCAAATTTAAACTTTCTATTCATTAAAGAATTATGAAAAAATTTCAGTTTCCACAAAAATATTAAGCAGCACAACTGTTTTCAATATTGATAATATTTTACATTTCTTGAGCAGCTAATCAGCAAATTAGAATAATTTCTGAAGGATCATGTGACACTAAAGACTGCAGTAATGATGCTGAAAATTCAGCTTTGCATCACAGGAATAAATTACATTTTAAAACATATTCACATTGAAAACAGTTATTTTAAATAGTAAAATTTTTTTAAATTGTAAAAATTTTTAATGAAATAAATACAGCCTTGATGACTTTTTCAAAAATATTACCGACCCCAAACTTTTGAACAGTATTGTACTTAATAAATGTTCCTTATTGTGAACGATTCATCATTGCACATTATTCCAAAGAAAACAAATCTCCATAATACTTTATCAAAATATAATAACTTGTGTCTCTCATATGACTTTCCTTACTTTTCAACCCCTCCCCTCCAACCACATGATTCATTTTAATATGTAACGTTCACTTTTCAGCATCCAATCAATTCCTGATGGATAAAATCAAGTCCCGTCCTACATTCTTCTTTACTGTTTCACAAAGGAATACATATTATGAAAGTAAACAACCATTTAATGCACTTTCATGCCACTTTTGTCTGTTGACATTTGTGAAGAAATGATAAAAAGTTGATATGTTGAATTAATAATAATGCAGAATAATTGGCTCAACAGAACAATGTTGTTGACTGAATCTGCTGAGTGAATGATTCATTAACTTACAGAAAGAGTCATTTTGTAAAAGAATCAAAAGATTCAGTCAGTGGGTTGAATCAAAATCCCCACTACTAGTCATGTCTAAGGGCGGCACAGTATATATGTTTGAGATTTTATACTTAATTATCAGTGGTAGAGCATTGCGTTAGCTATACAGTAAATAAATCAATAAATCCACTGCTCTGTTGTCTCCTCCGAGGCTGGGACTGTAAATAGTGTTCTGTGAGGGTTGAATCAAAATCCCCACTACTAGTCATGTCTAAGGGCGGCACAGTATATATGTTTGAGATTTTATACTTAATTATCAGTGGTAGAGCATTGCGTTAGCAGCGCAAAAGGTCGTGGGTTCGATTCCCAGGGAACACACATACTGGTAAAAATGTATAGCCTGAATGCACTGTAAGTCGCTTTGGATAAAAGCGTCTGCTAAATGCATACATTTAAATTTAATTAATTTAAAAATGTTTTGCATATACCACATATAGTTTTTACACATATTTTACAATAAGGTCCCATTAGTTCATTCTATCTAATATTAATAATATAAAAAGTAATTCTATATAATGTAATATTAATGTTCGTTATACAAACTAATAATGAGCAGTACACAAATTATTGTATTTAATAATTAAAATTAGTCAATAAAAATGCAACTATTCACTGTTAGTTCATGTAAGCTCAAGTCCATGAAATAATATTAAGAGAAACAATTTTTTATTTCATATTGTATTAGTAAATGTTGAAATTAACATTAACCAACTTTAATAAATGCTTTAGAAGTTCAAGATTTAAGATTTTTATTTGTCACATACACAGTTCTATACAGAACATACCCTGTAGTGAATTGTAAATAGTCTTTTATATAAATAAAAAAGTATTTTTCATTGGTAGATAAAACTTACCTGTAACAGATTAAGGGGCGGTAATATTATCATGAGATCCCTTTGTGACGTCACTAGGGGAGCGAAATCAGACGCGCTCGTTTTTCCAGACGCTTGCAGAAAAAGGCTTACCAAAACAAAGTTACTGGGTTAATCTTTTTCACGTTTCCTTGGTTGGTAGATGCACCGGGGACCTGATTATAGCACTTAAAACCTGGAAAAGTCCGATTTTCATGGTATGTCAACTTTAAAAATGTCCCTACTACTTGGCAGATATCACTGAAATCGGAGTCCTGATAACAATAACAAATCAGGCCCTGACAAAACCAAGCAGATTCTCACATGCTTTCGCAGAAGCGCGCCAGTGTGCTTGGTTTCTCCTGGTTGCGTCGTTGTCTGAACCAGCGCTGGATGGTCCTCACGTCCCAGTCCAGCTGCTTGGACAGACCCTCTAACCTCTTCTCATCGGGGTGCTGAAAGACACAGCAGACAGAAGCGTGTCACTGCAGAGATCCGCCACTGTTAGAGCACAAACAAACCGCCTCAATGTGGATTTAACAGCTTGAAAAAATTCACTCTATACACATTTAAAACCATTGTCTTTAAAAAGCCATCTGCACATACGAGCCAGCGAGACTCGCGCATAATCACACTGTGTAATGTACTGCTGCGCAGGCATGCTGTAATGTCTTGAGTAGTGGGGTTTCCATTGTGAATGAACGAATCTTTCAAGTCATTTGAAAGCATTCTCAGTCACTTCCTTGCACTAATTCGTAATTCCCTCCTTTCTAGGCACGTTTCATTGATTTTTCGAGCTCACTGAACCCCTTTGAACTGGTCAGAATGACTCAGAATGGCACTGAAGAAAATGCAAACAGAACGAATGGAGCGTTTCATTGACGAATGAGGATCTGCTGACCATCAATGACTGAACAAAAGGGGCCATATGTTCATTCAGTTCACATGCAATTTTATTCAGTAAAACAAGAAGCGTTAGGAAAACAAAAGCAGAGTTTGGCACATAATCAGGTTTAACAGGTGTGCAAAATGCATTATGCACAATTTATGAATCTGTATAAATGGCTGATGATTATACACAATTAGAATAACGTCAATTGCGAGCATAATAGTTAAATTATTATCCAAGACTCTCAGAAAAAATGGTACAAAAGCTTTCACTGGGTCGGATTCTTTTCAAATGGTGCACTTTTGTACCTTATTTACCCTAAAAAGGTACCTTAAAGGTATATATTTGTTACTGAAAATTACATATTAGAAATTAAATGGTACATATTTGTAGCATTAACAAGATGACCCGTTGAATTCATTTTGGGAGCGATGACTGATTGAATGTATTGATGAAGTATATTGATGAATTAGTATTGATGAAGTTCAGAGGCTGGATTTATAGCGTTTTGGAACCAAACTCTTCATATGGTCATTACTGCAAAATAAATCCCTTCAGGTTGATACAAGACCTCTACGCTTTGGCCAAAACAATCTATTTTTCTGAAGAAAAATCTAGATAGTTTCGCCCTGAGGTCTCTCTCTGTCTCTGCATAGCTCCGTTTCAGGCAGGAATTGTCTTTTTATTCTTAACGTGTGCCTGGATGTCATGTATTCGAGAATCTGAACTTTTGTCAAGGAAACTTAGATCTGTTGTGGCTAAAAATAGTGCCGGTGCGTCAGCGCACATGAGCTCTGATAAAGCCACACACGTCAAAGAGCCACGCTATCGCTCTGAGACTGCGATCAGCTGTACCGTCAATCCACACTGCTGTCACCATCAAGAGCATGCGCCTTCTTTCAAGACAAGGGCTCAAAAAGGTGAAACATTATTCTTCTCTTATATGGCAACCTCTGCTCTGCTTTAGTTCAGAAGTTCACGCTGTGGATTAAACTCTGTCGGCCTCGTTCCCAAATGAACAGCAGTAAGAGCACTTACATTTGATTCAAGATAAATGAACTCACATTATATACTGATTCAACTCAGTGGAGGTGATAGTAACTCAAAAAAAAATCACAGTACTATAGTGAATGTGTTAGGAACAGTTCTGTTCACTTACACTAATGTGATTCGCTGTAATCGAGGCGCCTCCCGTTTCAGTGACTGTGAGAAAGCTTGAATTTGATTCTGATTCACAGTCTCTGCAGGTTCTAATCATGTTACTGCATAATTTAACAAATCTTTAAAGATAAATGGCTGATAAAAAGCTTTTCATCATCAAGCATCATTCAGCACCAGTAAGACTATTTTTCTTTTTCTTTTCTTTTTTCTCCCCCCTTATATAGTACATTGAATTCACATAAGTCATAAGTCACAGTTCATGTTTTTGGATTATCACTGTTGTAAATAAAACTTCACTTGGGTTCTCTACATCATCATCCGTGTCTGTTTCGTGTGAGCATCGTTACACCTTGGTGAGGTACAGTATTAATGCACAAACACAGCTTGTTCTTCTTAAAGTGACAGTAAAGTGAAAAAAGCCCTCACTCTCATGTTGTTATAAACCTGTATGAGTTTGTTTCTTCTGTTAAACACTAAAGACAACAAAGACATCTGGAACATCACAAGCGTGAGAGAATTTTTGGTGAACTGTCCCTTTAAATGCAACTTAAACAGGCAGGATAAAAAATGGATAAGTATCAAAATATCAGATCATTACGCCTCGTAAATGCAGCCTAGAAGTCCTGTCTCTGTCTATTATGACATTAGTATAAATGAAACAACAATATTGACAAGATAAAAATTGACAAGTTGGTATAAAAAAAAAAATTGTGAGCGAAAGCAGGAAAAAATATTTTTATGACCATTTTTGACAGTCATTTTTGTCCTCTAAGGACATGTAACTCTTATATTGATGCCGAAGGGTTAATAATAATAATAATGCAGTAAAAATACCAATCATTTAACTGAGACATACTTGAACGTAGGGCTGGACGATATGGCCAAAATTGATATCGGAAATGTGTTTAAAAATCATATCACCGTTATTGAAAAAAATTATATCGCGATACATATTGATATTGAATTATTGTCCAGCCCTACTTGAACGTGTTGTCCTGATTAAATGTGTTAATATTTATATTAATATATTAGTTGCTGCGGTCCTATTGAAACTGGCTTACTGAATTTTTTTGTGATAACCCTATTTTATCAAACTGCTGTTCCTGCCATTTTATAATCGCAGTAAACCACTCAAAACTATGTTGTAGTGATTTTCTTAGCCTCCTGAAGCAATAAATCCTCTTTAACTGTGGTAAGAAACATGGTCTGTACCTTGGTGATAGCAGTGAAGACCTTCTCCAGAATGGCGTTGGGCTGAGCTTTCTGCGGCCCGTTGGCCTGGATTTTCAGACCTAGTGCACATGGCCTTGCGATAAACCTAAAACAACCAATAACAAAGAATGCTTTATTAGATTTATACCTTGTAATACCAATGCCTGCTAACTTAATTCTGAAGGTCTGACAGGCTGCATTAAAAATCAATATTCAAAAGGAACCTCTGAGGTAAAACTGCAGCGGGCGGCTAAAGAAGTCCTCCTGTTTGCAATCACTGCGGACGTCTTGCAAAATCTTCAGAGACGGGCCGTTAACACCGCACAGGCCAGCTGTAAGCATTTTGTCTTTCTGCAGCTGACTGGCTGCTTTTCCGAAGGTCTGATAAACATGAGTGTATTAGGAAATAAACCACTGATCAGAGCGACTGCATTACAGTAGGTATTGTTATGCTAATGTGATTCTATCTAGTTGATCTGATAATGAGAATGTTAAAAAGGAACGACAACCAGCAGAAACATTTCATGGGTCACTGCTACTGTGCAGTACATTTTCATATCCTCATCTTAATCTACATATTAAACTCACTATTTACGAAAGCCATGTTTAGTTTTCTTTTATCACGACGATATCAATGATGTGAACAAATCATATCATTTCTTTGAGCGGATTATATTTTTGTCCAACTTCTGAAGTGATAACCTGACAATTTCTTAAATATTTCAAATAAAACATAACAATAGTGCTTATTCGAGAATCAGCTCTTAAGATTTTTCTCTTTATAACCTGTTCCCAAAAAATATGCTCTCAAAACATTTTTCTAATGTTCTCAATAGCTACAAAAATGATATGAAGTATTTCTATTTCTGTATTTTTCAAGTCAGCCCAGGTTACGTTGTGCGGGAGCCAGAACCTCTCGTTCCAGAACCACGCCAGAATCCCTGCCATTTCTAGCGGATCTCAAGTCTTGACGCCCGCGCTGATGTGCAGTCAATGGCCGACGCGGCTTGCGACGCTCTGTCACGGCTGATCTTTGCAGGTCCAGTGTGATGGTGATGATGGAATCAGGTTTTGCGCCGCCCGTTTGGGTTGAGAGTGTCCTCTCTCTCCAATGTAGGGAAGTAGACCGTGCCCGACGCGCTCCGCCTCCGCGACGCTGATTGGTCCGTGCGCCTGTCAATCATAAGAGCGTCGCTTGAAAGGACAGTTCAGGCAGGAATTAATACCCATGAGTCTGTGTGTATTCAGGTTTAAGTCCCTACCAGAATAGAAAAACAGGCACACACATACACACACACACACACACACACACACACACACACACACACACTTTAAATATTTATCTATGAACACATGACTATTTTTTGTGCGTACAAAAAAGAAATAAATAAATAAACCATGTAAATGGAAAAAGTTATTCAAAGCATTAAAATCTTTACAAATATTTACAAAATGTACAACAATGTTACAATGTTTTTTTTAGGCATTGTTGAACTTCTGTCTTTGAGAGAAGTTCAGCAATGTTGACCTCCGTGTTTACATTTATGTGTACTAAATTTAGCTCATAGAGGTAGCTGCAATTAAATTATATTCCTTAAGACATGTAATAAGTGGAAAAAGCCGAAAAGAAAAACGTTTTCAAAACACAGCTGAAAGCTGGAAATGATGCGATCCTTAATAAATGAACAGAAGTCTGACCGAAAACAAGCCGAATGAAGACAACTCAATAAATAATAAATAAATAAATACAACAAGATGGCGTTCAAAATACGCTTACTCAACTAAATGAATTAATGAATGAATGAATAAATAAATAAATAAATAAAACAAGATGGCGTTCAAAATACGGTTACTCAACTAAATGAATGAATGATTGAATGAATGAATGAAAAAAAATGTAACTACATAATATAAAAGTAAATAAAAATAAATGAAACTAGCCTACCTAACCTAACTTGACACTCCAACGAAAGTCACCAAACTACGTCACCACGGGCAAATTTATATTCATAAGCTACTTAATATTCACGTACTACGCTGTAGTGATATCAGCGCTCCGTAATGAATATTCATGAGCTAAGCCCTAGCTGTAGTAGGATTCTCGATGTGTCTCTCCGGATGTGTTCATCACAGGCGGTAGTGATCCAGCAGAAGCAGCGGAGGTGAGCGAGTGAGAGCGACTCTCTCAGCAGCATCATGGCGGAGCAGAGCGACTCCCCGGCGGCCGTCCAAACCCCGCAGCCGGCGCTCACCACCAGCTGGCCCATTGTCAAGGAGGCGTACGAGCTCCAGGAGGTGATCGGTATGTAGTTGCAGATGGATTTGAGCCCGTCATTGGCTTTGGTTTGTTGCTTTGGTTTGGGCCTACCGGCTTTTTCCCATATGCACCGGCCGATGACAGTAATGCAATAAGGATGTGACAAGTGAAGCTTCCTATCATATGTTTTGGAGCTATTAGATGTAATGACAGCGCGCGTGTAATGAGTGATGATGCCTTATAATAGCACGTGTCCAGTGAGACATCAGGCTACTGTGACGTTTACAGTAAAGGTGCTGTTGTTATTATACACAGGGAAGGTTATTTTGACCAAAAAGTGCAACCAAGTTTCAGGGGTTTGAAGTTGATGCATTGCGCAGGCTGGCGGATATTTAACAAAACACTAATAGCAGCGACAACGAGAGTGATTATTATGATTTGACATATTTTAAGATATTAATATTCTGAGTGTGTAGTGCATGTGTGCATCTTATCGCCACTTGCACTGTCTGTGAGATTGAAAGCTGTCATTTGCTGCATGCGATGAGTTTGCGCTCGTCTCACGAGGCCCTCTGCTGCTCAGATCGAGCACTTCTCATTTCTCAAAAGTGCATTTAGTGCTAATTCTTTTAGTGCTAATTCTAATTTTTTTTTTTTGCTAATTCAAAAAGCTCTTCACAAAGAAATGAACAGCAGTTTTGAGAAATTGAATTACAATGACACATTTATATAGCCTACGTCACTTAAGCACAATTGGCGGATTGATCTTATAACACATTGACATTAGATATATCAATTTATGTATTTTATGTTTATGCTTTGTAAAGTGCTTTAAACACTGACTAATGTACATATTATTATTATTATTAGAATTTATATGTACATTTTATATTACACAGCACACACAGTACACATATTAACCCTGTAAAGCCTGGCACATGAAATAATAGTCAGAATCGAATTGAATGGAACAATTTATTGAAACTTCAGACTTATATACTGATATATATATATATATATATAGTTATGATATTCAAATGCCCAAACTGAACAAAAATATGCAATTTCGTGTAGATGCTGATATTTATATGGATGAAATTCTGATGGCTTGTATTGTAAATCAATGAGATCTTTGTAACAGTATAACAGACTACTTACATAAAATGATATAAATATCAGTCACCACTCTATATCTCCCAATAACATGTTTTAGTAAGATGATATTTAAATTAGTTTTTGGATCAAAGCTTTTTTTGTGGAACTCAAAGCATATAATGCAAAGCAATACAATAATGATTGAAAGATGAACAAATAAACGTTCATCAAAAACCTGATGATCATATTTAATATTACATTTTAAAATGATTTAAAAAAAAAAAAAAACGATATATGGATAATCAAGTAAATCGAAGCTGCTTCAGTCCAGTAAGTGTTTATTTTGAAATATTACTAACTAGGGCTTATATAAAAGTTATTGTTATGCTAACTTTATAAACATCCTTAAAGATAATAGCAAAGCATCATGCAGTTGCGGATGTGTAGTTTATGCATACCTGCTTATGGGCTTTTATTGGTCAACAACAAGATGTTAGTTTAAAATTTCTATGAATTTTCCTTTTTTTCACTCTTTGTAAACACCTTTTTGTCTTCACTAGTTGAACGGTTAATATGAGGCCATACAGCATGCATAATAATTATAGCAAAAAGACTTCCCAACATAGGACTTTTTTAATTTTATGAGTGAACTTTTCCTAATAATCAATAGCTGTTTTTTCCTTTTTTTTTTTTTTTTTTTTTTTTTTTTTTTCATTCATTGACATTTTGCTGCATTCTCAAATCTATAAAAGTTCGACTCAAATTGAGACGGCTGATAGTGATGGACCCACTGCCTGCACACATGAGGCTCCCAAAGTAAATAAAGACAGAAACACAGGAGGCCCTCTTCAGGGCTGTGAGCGCAGGGAGGTTGAGATTAGAGCCCGACCGATATGGGTTTTTTGGGCCGATACCGATATTTGGGCGTAAAAAAAGGCTGATATCGATATATCGGCCGATATTCTTTGTGTATATTATAGTACAGTACCAGTCAAAAGTTTGGACACTTTCCCGTTCGAGGGTCCAAACATTTGACTGGTACTATATATAGAATACAGTATATACATAAACAGAATATATATATATACATA